TTGCTCTTTAAGGCTCGTTAGGGAAACTCTCAGCCTCCGGTGGGTGCAGCCATCTTGTGTTACAGAAACACCACCTCTGCTGTGGGCGCCGCCATCTTTGTGACAGCATGACAGTCAATTTGCACATTCCCTCTTTATTTGATAGAATTGTGTAGAATAAGGCCATATTTATTTGAGTAAATGATGAATCAATTTAAAGACAATTATTATTGAGACAATAATAATGTACCAGTAGCATGCAAATATGAGAAAAAGTATGAAAGTGATATGCAAATGACTGACATTTGGCAAACCTTTGCGGAAACAGGAAAATGTGACAAAGCTCTTCCCCCATCCCAGGCTCAGAGCCCACACCTAAAGACTAAACCTGAACACTTATAGAATCGAGGCAGGCTAGAAGAGGACCATCAGGGATTATACAGGAAGATCTAACCCATTAGAGAACTGGACAGGAATATTGTTCTGATAATTATAGATACTGCTTCTTTTTATCTTACAAGTACACATGGAAAAGAAGAAGGAATTGCCTTCTCTGGGATTGATAAATGGTGATATTAAAGTAGAAAATATAGGCCCTAGCTAAGTAATTGAAAATATAACTGAGGTGTGCCTTTGGCATCAATCATCTCAAAGGAGTAGGGATGCTCTTGTATCTTTGGATCTGGGCAAAGAAGCTAGAAGCAGTTTTGCCGCTCTATAACCTATAATCTAAGCTCTGATAAGTACCTTAGGTAGCATTAATTCTGAGTTCTGCTATATTTCTGGAAGGATCTAACATTATTCTGGTCTGCTACTCTTTGGTTGATGGCAAGACAAGAGTACCTGCATCAATCTGCAGATATCTAAATTATCATTAGAAAAGCTAGGATCCCACTGGGGCACAGTCAAAATCTAATGAACATATTTATCACCTTTATTTTTTATTTTTTAAATATATTTTATTGATTTTTACAGAGAGGAAGGGAGAGGAATAACGAGTTAGAAACATCGATGAGAGAGAAACATTGATCAGCTGCCTCCTGCATGCCTCCTACTGGGGATTGAGCCTGCAACCAAGGTACATGCCCTGGACCAGAACCAAACCCAAGACCATTCAGTCTGCAGG